TGGAAAATCAAATTTCCATGCTTATATATTGCTAACATTTACAACCTTGTAAAATGATCACATGTTCATATACTTAGCATATTACCAAGATGGCGGGCATTTTTGGCAGGAAAATGAGACGATGTGCAGATTTTGATTAAGTGGTAGTGTTTGGTGTCAATATATTGGGCGCAGAATCAATTTCTGACATTTACAACCTTGTAAAATGATCACATGTTCACATACTTAGTATATTTCCAATATTGCTGCCACCTGTGCTAGGAAAATTGGACGATGGGTTGATTTCGATTAAGTAGTTGTCTTTGGTGACAATATATATGTTTTCTGGGAGGCAGATTCAGTTTCTGTTATATACAACTACGTAAAATGGTGCTAACTTTAACATTTTCGCACAGACAACTGTAAATATGCTAAATATATGAACATGTGATCATTTTACAAGGTTGTAAATGTCAGGAATGAAATCTTCCACACAGGATACGGATAATTTGACACGGGTAGTCGATTGATTATGCCATTTTTACAGTTGTCTATCCGAAAATGTTAACGTTAGCACTCTTGATACGTTAGCACTACTAATTCGGCTTTCACGGCGTTATTTACTCAAAATGTATCACTTTCTTTACGGCCTCTAGAAATGAAAACCGGCTTTCCGATTCCCGATGCATAAACATGGCTCTGCATTCTCGCTTTATTCACTCGACGTCAGGGCCGTAAATGTGGGGGGGGGGGTACACCCCCCCAGGAAAAAAATAGTCGGTCGCAAAATCAGTGCAGTCGGTCGCAAAATAAGAGCAGTCGGTATCCAAATAAGTGCTCACTGCACACGTCACGCTACTCACGCAAAACTTTAGTATAAAATAACCTTGTCAACTTATCATGTTTGAAAAAATGATGTGTTTCACTCTTATTCTGTTGTGAGTATGTAAGTCTTAAGAACAAAATTTCCCCCAGGGAGAAAAGTGGAGTCACTGCAGTCGGTCTAAAAATTATGCATCACCGTCTTAATGAATTAATGAGGTAAACAAATAATGCAAGAATAGATCTCAAATACTAGTCGGTCGCAAAATCAGTGCAGTCGGTCGTAAGATATGAGCACTCGGTATCAAAATAAGTGCTACTCACGCAAAACTTTAGTATAAAATAACCTTGTCAACTTATCATGTTTGAAAAAATGATGTGTTTCACTCTTATTCTGTTGTGAGTATGTAAGTCTTAAGAACAAAATTTCCCCCAGGGAGAAAAGTGGAGTCACTGCAGTCGGTCTAAAAATTATGCATCACCGTCTTAATGAATTAATGAGGTAAACAAATAATGCAAGAATAGATCTCAAATACTAGTCGGTCGCAAAATCAGTGCAGTCGGTCGTAAGATATGAGCACTCGGTATCAAAATAAGTGCTCACTGCACACGTCACTCTTCTCAAGCAAAACTTTAGTATAAAATAACCTTGTCATCTTATCATGTTTGAAAAAAATGTTTTTCACCCCATGGCAAAAAAATAGTCGGTCTCAAAAAAAAGTGCTCACCGCAGTCGGTCTCAGACTAAATGATTTAATGGGGTGTTTTCTGACCATCAGAATTCTGCCAAATCTCTCCCCAAAGTCCAGGGCATTTCAGAGACCAAGTAAGCGCCCCATTAAGGTAAAGTGCTCTCAGGGTCAGTCCTCAAAAATTAAAAGCTCAGTTACATATCGGCGCTCAATTCCATTATGCCATCATTCTTATACTATCTCATCACTATCATATTCACAGTTACAGTGAATCGCCCAGTTAGTAGTACCACTAGTGAGTGAGTCGTGGGTCAAAAGACTGTAGAATTGTTAGTTCTACTCTCACAAAACAGGCGACATTGACAGATAGGCCTCAAGATTCTGTCCCATTTCCTATCCTCTCGTTAACGAGAATTCTGATCTATTTGCCATGACATTGACTAAAATTGTCAGGCCCAGTCCCAAAAATTAAAAGCTCGGTTACACATCTGAAATTTTTTCGCGCCTGCAGCGCTGGATTCCATTATAACATCATTCTTCCACTCCTCTGTTGTCTTATACTGTCTCAGCACTATCATATTCACGGTTATACTGAACTGCCTGGTTATGTTCGTAGTACCACTGGCACTGTTGTGTGGGTCGTGAGGCATCAGACTATACAAAAGTTCTGTCAACTCTTGCAAAACAGGCGGAATTGACAAGGGCAGATCTCGAGATTTTGTCTAATTGACTCACATTTCTGGTCCTCTCGTCCACAAGAATTTCTCCCAGCAATGACCTCAAATGCTAAGATATTGACTCAATTTTTCAAAATTTTCTCAGGTTGCTCAGTGTTATAGGCACAATCATATATGACATAAACTTTATGTCAACTTAAATAAAACTGCTTTCCAGCGAGACAACGATCGGCAAACAACTATATAATTATACAATACCATCTATGTTCTACCGGGACGCTTAATGTTATAGCCTGTATTTTGTTGACATTCATTGTGGGGTGGGATTGTGGCTGGGGTGGCGCCCTAGATTTGGACCCCCCCACCCTTATCTAGATCCGCTTCTGCACATGGCCCCTACAAAACTCGCACCTGTGGCGCTCGGCTCCTGACTGCATCACTCGTACTAGGGGTATGGGCATCAGTCGGTCGCATTTTGGCTAAACACCCCCCCAAACAAAATCGTTATGTACGCCCCTGCTCGACATGTCATTTGTCATACCGATTAAATAAACCGTCTGTCCTTACGTAACGTTAGCACGTGCTTTTAAAATACTTTTTGTCCGATTTTAAATTTAAAACTCGCCCAAGGGTAGAAATACTATACAATTTATTAATACCTTTCATTGCGGACTATTTGAATTTTTTTAGTTAAAAACAATAATTCAAGTAATACAGTTATTTATAAAATGTCCATGTCTGTCCTTATGTAACTTTAGCATGCCCGACAAATGTTTAAATTTTAGGTTATTAAAATATATGATTATATTTATTATATTAATCTTAAATTCTTAATATTATGCTTTATTTCGCATGTAAAAAGTCTCAGTAACTACTTACATCAACACTATAAATATAAATTTTCTTCAAACTTTTAGTGCTAATGTTACAAATCTGCCAGAATGTCTGTCCACATGTAACATTAGCAATACAATTAATTTTTAAATTAAAAATTAATTTGTAAATCATATCCCATGAAACTTCAGATTTAGATAATGTATTAGTACATTAAACTTTTGAAGAAAATTATTAATATATATAAGCAACAGTTAATATCTGAAAGGAAAATAAATGTGCCATGCGTCTGTCCAATTCAAAAGAGACGTTTTATATTTACTAAAATGGTCATCTTTACTGTCTTATGACCCAAAAATAATAACATCTTCATTCATTTAACATAATTCAATGTATATTCTACCTATAGAGATTGCTATTTATATGAATTTTAATGTGCATCGTTTGCATTTGATATAATTTCATCTAGAGTGATTGAATTTCAGCAATTTCCGTTAATTACATCTAGAGTTATGGCCCTTGTTTCACTTTGTTGAATCTTGTGAATGCGCTAATGACAACTTTTATCATCTGATCTGTATGAAATTCATATGTATCATTTAAATTAGTGAAACGAAGAAGCCTATTGAATGTCAGCAATTTCCGTCAATTACTTCTAGAGTTATGGCCCTTGTTTTACTTTGTTGAACCTTGTGAACGTTCGAATGACAAAAGTTATCCGATCTGTATGAAATGAAATTTATATGCATTATTTTAATTTGTAAAATGAAAAAGCCTGTTGAATTTCAACAATTTCTGTAGATTACTTCCAGAGTTACGGCCCTTGTTTTAATTTTTAGAACCTTGTGAACCCTCAGACGATGAAAATTATCATGTCATCTGTATGAAATTGTCTATTAAATGCCCCCTAATTTAGGGGTGATGATTTTCCGTTTCAGAAAATAACAAATTCCGTTTTAAGTATTTTTAATTCCGTTATTTTCTGTTTCAGAGCTGACCATATTCCGTTTTTTCGAGATAAAATGTTATTTTATGAATAAATGAATAAAACATCTTCAAATGCCTTTTATTACAAAACGGATCATTTTAAATCAATGATAACAAATGTTGAATTGTGAATAACTTGTAATGTTCAATGACTAGTTATTCTTTAAACCTGTTTCCCGAATTAAATAACAGAAAATTACATCTTGTGAGCTCATTTCATCGTTTTAGCAGACGAAGCCATTTTTCTCAGCTGCTAGTTGTAGTCGCGATTTATCCAGACATCTTCGTAGTTACTACCGTTTCTTCGAGAATAAGGGCTGGATTCACAAGGCTACGGTATATTTGTGATGTCACGTGGTTAATGCGGATAAACACGAGTCACGAGCCCGGCAGTAAAATAAGAAGTAAATGAAACGATTTTTACTTTTATGAAGTGACAGAAGTTTTTTTTAAGACATATATATACATTACAATGTTTAATTCAAGTTAAACTACAGAGTAATTGTATACAGGGATACATGAAAGACGGGTTTTCGTTTCGATTAAAATTATGATTGCTAAATGATGAAATGAAAGTAGCTAAATACTAAAATAGACAGTAACAAAACCACGCGATATCATTCAATATTTCCGATTTTTATGAATAAAAAGATGAAATACTTGGATAACTGCAAAATTGTTTTGAGTTTGTGTTTAGTATCCGCAAATATCGGCTTTTCCGTCTTTTTCCGTGTGAGATTTCAAATTCCGTTTTGAGTTCACAATTCCGCGATTTCCGCGTTTTTTTCGCGATCACGGAAAATCATCACCCCTACTAATTACCTACAAAAGAATAAATGTGCGACAACCCTTGTCGACCGCTCGGACGATTTAGCTGCTGTGGGCATATGTTTTGTTGCCTCGCAACCTATCTTTGTATGTTGCAGCATTGTGGCTTAACGGCATGTAAATCATATAACAACTTCCTAAGTGTTATAACAATTTGATTGGTTTGTTTTAATATTTTCAGGGTTTATTGATGAAGTTAGATTCCTTTCATAATATTCAACTAGGAACAGTTTACAGGTAACATACAATTCCTCTACTAACACTGTAACCTGAGTATTATTTAATCTTGTTTATCTAGCACTAATTTCTTTCACGTTCGTTTAATATCATATCTTTGTTTAAAAATTTGTAAAAAAATTATTTAAAATCACCCAAAATCATTTAATTTGTACATGTGTCCTGTTTGAACCTGACTGATTAATCTTGATAATGAGTGTCCAATTTACAAGTGTTTAGTCTGATGTCCTGAAAACTGTTCACAAATTAATCATTATATATCAATAATCAATTGGGTTGTTTGATTTTTTAACAGTGATCGAGAAATTAAACGCTTGTAAATTGGACACTCATTATCAAAATTGAATGGTCAGCTTTAAACTGGACACAAGTACAAATTAGATGGATTTTTGTGATTTTAAACGATTTTTACGAATTTTTATACACCCACGTTTTCATGTGGACATATATTGTCGTCGCCCCTGTCCGTTCATAATATGAGCGGGATAAATATCTTCTTGGTTGCTGACTAACAGCTCGCATATATCCTTTGGATATGCTTCAGATAACAATTCACATTGCAAATCTTCATTCCAGCCATGCAGCAAAAGACCACTACAGCAAGGTGGTGATAAAGAAAGGTATGTTATTTTTTCACCCAGAAAATCTTTCTTCTAGCGTCATCTACTGATGTAAGTCATCTTCTGCGATATTTTCTTCCTTTGCCCATCTCATTATCGATCAAAATGTGTATATTTGGATCATTGTGAGGAGAATGATTGGGATGTCTATTTCGCCCGAGCAAGTTGTTTCAGCGCTTCCATTAATTTGCAATGCAAAGAGGAGTAGGTAACCTATTTTGGTGTCCTCGTGGTTTGTTGTCAGTTCTAGGATATTTTCGACACTTTCAATACTATTCATAACAAAACACAACACAAGGTATATATGGATATAACTACTTCTCTGTTATTTAATAACGACGTTTCGTAACACATACAGGTCTTGATATATTTTTTTAAACCAATCAAGATTAGTACTGAAAGTGTTGAGAATATCTTGGCCTACATGCTTTCAGTGGTAATGACTATCTGTCTTTCTTTTTCCAACTTTCTAACAATTTTTAAAGAGCTGTGACAGACAAATGCTGTTTCTAATGAGGTAATTACTGGTTTAGAAAAAATTGTTTGTACCATCTACGGTGAAAGGCAACTTACATCAGTAGATGAGGCTGGAAAATAGATTTTCAGGGGGAATTTTAATTGTGATGAAAAATAACAACCTTTCTTTCTTTATTACCATCTTGGTGCACATAAAGCCCGGCCCATACGCAACGTCTTGTCTCAGATAATCAGTGCAGTGTGGACAGTCCCACGACCACGATTCAATGGATTTCCGTCGCCTCATGGCCCGTCGGCCCGATTGAACATGTTCAATCATAGTCGGATGCAGTTGGTTGCAGTCGTAACTTATCGTGTTTGTGTGGACACTCACACGACGCGATCAATTTCTTTTTACGAGCAGTCAACTTCAGCGGCATCTTGGCAAAATATAATGTCACTTTTATGCTTCCATTTACTTTTGGAATCACTCGCTAGAGGGAAGTGGCGTAACTGGCGACGCATAATCTGTGAGAGTCGGGCCTGTGTGGACTGGTACCGTTGTAGGCAAGTGAAGTAAAGGCGCGACCCGATTTTTTTTTTACAACTACCCAAGACGCCGAGTCCTGTCGGCTTGTGTGTAGTCGTAGCGGTATGGGCCGGGCTTTAAATGCAACAATTATGTTGAAACAATATGGAGACAGGCTGCAAAACCAATGATCGAACAAGATGACCCTGCGATACAGGGCTGGAATGAAGATTTACAATGTGAATGGGTATCTGAAGCATATCCAAAGGATATATGCGAGCTGTTGATTAGCCATCAAGAAGATATCTATCCCGCTCATATTATGAACTTTTATTTTGAATCTTCTGATGAAGACTAAGAATAAACTAATATCTAAACATGTCTCTAATTTACTGTGTATTTTATGTACATTTCCAGATCTCTTGAAAAGTACCATTATAATTTAATATTATTATTTGGAATGACGAAATTGGTACTGAACGAAAAAGCAATCTGATTAAAAATACAGATGTATATTTCGTTTCGTATTTTTATACTTTTGATGGCCTACAATACATGAAGATCTGACTAGTTGTACTGGGAGAAAAACGAGCGGCTTTTGACCCTATGACATCAGACATTGATTAAATCAATAAATCACCGTTGACGTTTCTACGCCGTAACAGACAGTTTCATTGGCTAATTCCTCACATCAAATAGACCGCCTGTTATATAACAACTCTTCCAGATCCTAGTCTTGTGAAGACAGTAAAACGAAATTTTGAACTACAAAAAACCAAACGAAATAGCATCTGTGTGTTTTAATCAGATTGAACGAAAAAGCTAACGAGGAAAACACTTTTCAGGTCAATTTTGAACGGAATGGTTTCTGTCCCCAAAATTACATTTTGTCCACCCCCTTCCCCGCCCATACAATGGGAATCTTACACACATAATTAGAGATGTGCAGCGGAATTAAAAAGTAATGTTTTTACCAAGCTCTAAGAAAATCATCATTTAAATCAACTTGAACTTCTTCCCCCCCCCCCCCCAATACACGCACACCTGCTACCCCCACCCCACCTCCCAACAAATCAAAACAGTTGTCCAGGGGCATCATATACACTTCTTTAGAGATGGACAATCCTAGAAAATTTATGTTTTAGTAATATATAACACGATCATCATTTATATCAACATAATGACATTTCCCCCAATTGTAGACATTGGACCCCCCATATCTAGAAAACGTCCCCTCAAACGCCTGATCACCACCCAGATTCAGAATCTACGCAAAAACTGGTCTAGAAAAACTTGGTCTCATAAATTCACAGCTTGGGTGGAGATTTCCCCTCTTCAGCCACCGGACTATCTAGAGGTCACAATTTTTATTCGATTTAAAAAAAAAACAGTTTAAGTATATCACCGTTACACTCTAATGATGGTTGAGCTCGAAGTTTGTGAAAATCGGACCAAAACTGCCAGACAAAATGGCTGTCGCTTGTACGCGAATAGTGTAAAAATATGGTATATAGAGGTTACAATTTTTATACGCCCACATTGAAATGTGGACGTATATTGCAGTCACCCCAGTCCGTCCGTCTGTCCGTCCGCCCGTCTGTCCATCGTCCACAATTTCTTGTGAATGCTCTAACGGCAAAAGTTATCATCCAATTGTTTTAAAATTGATATATTTTGTTTACATTAGTGAGATGAAGAAGCCTATTTAATTTCAATAATTTCCGTTTATTACGTCTAGAGTTATGGCCCTTGTTTCACTTTGTTGAACCTTGTGAACTCTCTAATGCCAAAAGTTGACATACGATCTTTGTGAAATTTATATGCAATATTTAAGTTAGTGAAACGAAGAAGCCTATTGAATTTCAACAATTTCTGTTTATTACGTCTAGAGTTATGGCCCTTGTTTCACTTTATTGAACCTTGTGAACGCTCAAACTCCAAAAGTTATCATCCGATCTTTCTAAAATTTACATGCATTATTTAAATTAGTGAAACGAAGACGCCTATTCAATATCAGCAATTTCCGTTTACTACGTCTAGAGTTATGGCCCTTGTTTCACTTTATTGAACCTTGTGAACGTTGTAACGCCAAAAGTTATCATCCGATCTTTCTGAAATTTATATGCATTATTTAGATTACTGAAACGAAGAAGCCTATTGAATTGCGGCAATTTCCGTTTATTACGTCTAGAGTTATGGCCCTTGTTTCACTTTATTGATCCTTGTGAACGCTCTCACGTCAAAAGTTGTCATCCGATCTTTTTGAAATTTATATGCATTATTTAGATTGCTGAAACGAAGAAGCCTATTGAATTTCAGCAATTACCGTTTATTACGTCTAGAGTTAAGGCCCGTGTTTCACGTTATTGAACCTTGTGAACGCTCCAACGCCAAAAGTTATCATTCAATCTTTGTGAAATTTATATGCATTATTTAGATTAGTGAAACAGAGAAGCCTATTGAATTTCAGCAATTTCCATTTATTACGTCTAGAGTTATTGTCCTTGTTTCACTTTATTGATCCTTGTGAACGCTCTAACACAAAAAGTTATCACCCAATCTTTGTGAAATTTATATGCATGATTTAAATTAGTAAAACGAAAAAGCCTATTGAATTTCAGCAATTTACAATAATTACTTCTAGAGTTATTGCCCTTGTTTCAGTTGTTAAACTTTGTAAATGCTCGATTGATGATAGTTATCATCTGATATGTATGAAATTTATATGCATCATTTAAATTTGTGAAACAGGTCTATTGAATTTCAGCAATTTCCATCAATAATTTCTAGAGTTATGGCGATTGTGAACGTTTGAATGACAAAAGTCATCATGTGATCTGTATGAAATTTATATGCATTATTTAAATTAGTAAAACGAAAAAGCCTGTCAAATTTCAACAATTTCTGTAGATTACTTCCAGAGTTGAGACCCTTGTTTCAGTTTGTAGAACCTTGTAAACCCTCAAACGACTGTCTTGTAAAGGCCCCCAATTACCTACAAAGGAATAAATATGCGACAACCCTTGACGACCGCTCGGACGATTTAGCTGCTGTGGGCGTATGTTTTGTTGCCTGGCAACCTATCTTAATCCTATTTTGATGAAACTTGAAATGCATGTTTATAACCCAAAGATCTTGAATCCTTTCGATATTTGCGCATATCGGATCATAACTTCCTGAATTATGGCCCCTGATTATACTAAAAAGTTATCATCCAATTGTTTTAAAATTGATATATGTTGTTTACATTAGTAAGATGAAGAAGCCTATTTAATTTCAATAATTTCTGTTTATAACATCTAGAGTTATGGCCCTTGTTTCACTTTGTTGAACCTTGTGAACACTCTAATGCCAAAAGTTAACATCCGATCTTTGTGAAATTTATATGCAATATT